CGCCCCCCGCGCGGCGGGGAGGGAGGAGGGGGACGCCTCGACCCGAGGGACGCGGCACAGCGATCAGGACCACGTGTCGGGGCACCGCAGAACATGGATTAGGGCGCGCGGGTTAGCGCCGGGCTCCGCTTCCATCCCAGGTCGGCGCGCTGCGTCGCCGTAGCATGTTCCAGTGGCTTCTTGCTTCGGGGTCCAGGTTCCCCGATCCGTGGTCCGAGGGTCTGGTGCCCACGCGCCAGATCCACGGATCCCTAATCCATGTCAACGTGTGTTCGAAAGGCGCCGCGGGAGCGTGTCGACGCCGATATTGGTCATGGTCCACGCAGGCCGTCGCCGACTTGCGAAGATGACACACGAAGTGTCGATGACTAAGATGGGCGATGGCCAAGGTCGGCACCAGCGTTTCCGCGTTCAGCCTTTATCATGGTTATAATGTTCTTTTCCTCCAACGGCCGTTGCCGCCGCCGTCGTTGTTTCGGACGCGGTGGGGCTGCGTGGCGTGTGTCGGCAGGCGTCGGAAGGGTTGCGGATGTTTTCGGTGGGTTATTGGAGATATTCGGGGCTTGGGATGATTGTTCACTGGAATCGTCTCGAACGGCCGCCTGAAACCCGAGGTATCGTCCGAGAGCGCTCGGAGTAGGGCCAGTCGAAACAACGGCGGCCTTCCTTGCGTTTTTTGCTTTCTTGGGGGGCTTCCTCGAGGCTTCTCGTCGCCATGGCCGGATCCGCCTCGAAAAACTGACCAGGATGGACCCCAGGGATTGATTCTGAGCGATGCGCCGCCGCTGTCGCCGTCGCCGCTGCCGCCGTCGCCGTCGCCGTTGACGTTTTTTTGTGTTCGTTTTGACACCCAGAATGGCTCTGGAGGCCTCATGGGACTCATGGGGGCCTGCAGGGCCCCCTGGAACATCCATGCAGACCTCTAGAGGAGGGATCCTCGAACCGCGCAGTCCTCATGGGCGCGACGAGGCCTTCGATTCGGGCCTCGGTCTGGGTTGGAGGGGTGCCTATCTCCAGGGGCCCGAGCGAGAGCATGAAGAGAAGTGTGCCCCTCGCTTCCCGCAGCGCGAGGGTACGGTTGGAGAAGTTTGGTTCAGCGTGTCACGTCGCCGGTGTTGGTCCCTTTTTTTGTCCAAATATCCGTAAGGGCTTCGCCCCATGCCGCCGGCCCCCCGTCTCGGATAATGGGAGATGCACAAGATAAATCATGAGGCCTGGGCGCCGCTGTGAAGCAGTGTCGGGACCTGTTTGTTTTTCGACCCTGACCCCGCCGTTCTGCGTGAGGGGTGCCACCGAATGTCAGAAATGTGGCAAATCCCGTGTGTTTTTGGACCCTGACCCCGCCGATCTGCGTGAAGGGTGCCACCGACTTTCAGAACTGTGGCAAATCCCATGTGTTGTTGGACCCTGACCCTGTCGATCCGCGTGAGGGGTGCCACTGGATTTTAGAAATGTTGAGAATCCCCTGGGTTTTCAAACCCTGGCCCTGCCGATCTGCGTGAGGGGTGCCAGCGAATTTCAGGAATGTTGCAAATCCCATATGTTTTTGGACCCTGACCCTTCCGATCTGTGTGAGAGGTGCAAACGAATGTCAGAAATGTGGCAAATCCCGTGTGTTTTTGGACCCCGACCCCGCCGATCTGCGTGAGGGGTGCCAGCGAATTTCGGGAATGTGGCAAATCCTGTGTGTGTTTGGATCCCGACCCCGCCGTTCTGCGTGAGGGGTGCCAGCGAATTTCGGGAATGTTGCAAATCCCATATGTTTTTGGACCCTGACCCCGCCGATCTGCGTGAAGGGTGCCACCGAATTTCAGAAATGTGGTACATCCCGTGTATTTTTGGGACCCTGACCCCGCCGATCTGCGTGAGATGTGTTAATTTTTACCCACCCCAGCAATTCAGAGCACACGCTGAGGGCGTGCTAAACCTGCCCGTTTGGGCTTCCCCCCTTCGCGCGGTCCATCAACAAGGAACAGTAAGCAACAAGAAGCAGAACTGTAACAGTAGAAAATGGAAGCTGCAACTGGTACAGGAAAGTGCGAACCTTCGGCCTACATCCTGGTGGCCCCACAAGGGTGCCAGCGGATTTAGCAAGGGTTCTGACTTGGAACTAACAAATTGTGTTTGGCGACCTCTGCCGGCTTTGATGATGTGGCTGCTGCTCGTTACTACTTTGCTGATGAGGTGGCCGCTGGTGCGGTTGCTGCTGAAGTCGTCGCTGCTACTCATGATGCGGCTGGTGATCATGTCGGCGTCGTTGATCATGTGCTTGTTCTGTTGTTGGGGTCATGATGCGGCTGCTGCTCATGTCGCCGTTGCTGTTCATGTGGATGTTATGTTGGTGTGGCTGTTGTTATGCGAGCTGGTGTTGTAATACTACTTGCCATTACGTCGTCGTTGCTGTGTTTGCGATCATGTTGTGATCGCGTCTGTTATACTTGTTGTTGTAGTATCGCTCTTCCTGTTGTCATCATGCTGTTGAAGCGGCTTGAGGGGATGTTGTTTCTACCGCTCATGTGGTTGCTCTGTCCTTGTTAGAACAGCGTTTGCCATATGTGTCCTTCATGTCGTTTCTCATGTCTTCGTTATTGTTGTCCCTGCGAATGTGATATCATAGTTGCTGCTCTACCTGTTGCTACGATATTGCTGCTTCTTCCGTCATTGTGCTGTTCACGCGGTTCCCGGGGATGTTGTCATTACCGTTCATGTTGGTGCTCTGGCCTTGTTGTTAGTGTGGTTATCCTCACTCTCACCAGTGTTCCCAGATCTGACTTAGCATGAGGGGCTCTTACCTGGCATTGAGAATTGCGTTCTCGAAGACGTGGCTCTGTAGGCCAGCTGTGGGCCGGGCGCTTTGGCCCTCGAACAGTGGCGACCCTCACAGGGATGGCACCCCTCTTGGTGGGCTGGCGGCCTCTGCCGTCTCTGTAGCCTCATCAAGATGGCGCTCCCCCAGCGGGCTGGAGGGCTCTGCTGGCTCTGTGAGCCAGCTGTTGGCTGGGCGCTTTGGCTCTCGAAGAGTGGCGACCCTCCCAGGGAGGGTCCGTGGGCCAGCTGTGGGCCGGGCGCCGCCTTAGCTTTCGAGAAGTGGCGGCCCCTGCAAGAACGACGCTGCTCCCAGCGGGCTGGGGGGCTCTGCCAGCTCGGTGGGCAAGCTGCGGGCCGGGCGCTTTGCCCTTCGGAGAGTGGCGCGACCTTCGCGGGGATGGCGCCCCTCCCGGTCAGAGATAATATTGGCAAGGACCATGCCCCGACGCGCGAGGACCACGAGGAGCTCTACAGGACCATGCTTATGCTGTTCCCATCCTACTTCGGGACCGCATCCTAGAAATAATTTCGTCGAGCACCTGGAAAAGTGTCAAAAGAGTGTCAGAAGAGTGTCAAAGCAGTGTCGGGCGAGTGTCTCCCAGGGCCCGACACGTGAAGATCCTCGAGTTCCGGCATTTTTTTTGGCGCTCGAAATTCTTCCTGGTGGCCAAGGCTAAAGTAGGCTGGAACATCATAAGACTGTGCCATCGTGTGGTCTTGTAGGCTCTCGCATGGTGCCTGCGCGCCCCGGCAGGGCCCCGGGGCCGACGCGCAGGGCCCATGGGCAGACGCGCGGGGGCCCATGAGCCGACGCGCGGGGGCCCATGGGCCGACGCGCTGGGCCTCATGCCCCGGCTCCACGGGCCCAGGCCCGTGCGGAGCAGCGGAGCACGTGGAGCACTTTCGCCCCCTTGGACGCCCGAAGCGGGTACGGAAAGAAGGGGTGCAATGCCCAGGAGCAGCTCCTGCTCATTTTGAGCAGGGCTCGCTGTCCGCGCCGCCGCGGCCTGTGTCCGTTTGAGACAGAAGGCCGCCTGCCCAACAGCGGCCGCTGTGGGCTTGGGGCATGCCCAGGTAGGGGGCCACATGCGAACCCTACCCCCACCCCCCACGACTTCTGAGGGGGAGGGTGGGGCTCACTTCGCTCGGGAGCTCCGCCTGTGGCCCCCTACCAAGCCCGTGCGGAGCAGCGGAGCAGTGGAGCACGTTCGCCCCGCGCGCGCGCCCCGGCAGGGCCCCGGGGCCGACGCGCAAGGTCCATGGGCCCACGCGCGGGAACCAAGGGCCGACGCGCTTGGACCATACCCCCGGGCGCTTTGGCATTCGAGGGCTGGCGAGCCTTACAAGGATGGCGCTCTTCTGGTGGGCCAGAGGCCTCTGCCGGCCCTGCGGGCCAGCTGTGGGCCAGGCGTTTTGACTTTTGACGAGTGGCGACCCTCACAGGGATGGCGCTCCTCCTGGTGAGCTGGAGGCTTCTGCCGGCTGTGTTGACCAGCTGTGGACTGGGCGCTGTGGCCTTCGAACAGTGGCGAGTTGGCGCTCCTCCCAGCGGGCTGGAGGGCTCTGCTGGCTTTGTGGGCCAGTTGTGGGCGGGGCGCCTTCGCCTTCGAAAAGCGGCGACCCTCACAGGGATGTCGCCCCGCCTGATGGACCGACGGTCTGTGCCGGCTCTGTGGGCTAGTTGTGGACTGGGCGCCATGGCATTCGAAAAGTGGTGGCGTTCACAATAGAGTTGCTAAAATCAAGTTCGGGCGAGCTACGTTAACTGATGTTTGAATGCAACTGTGCTGAACTGACTTTTCATAATATGTGATAACAACAACAAAGTAAGAGTATGTTGATTTCGCTGGGTGCTTCGATCTTTGGTCACTTAGGGTGCAAATTGCGGTCAACTATTTCCCAACCGTCCTGTGTTGGGTACTCGTTTCGAAAGGAGCACCGTGGTCTCCACCTCCCTGTTCTTCTCCCCCCTCCTCCTCCTCCTCCTCCTCCTCCTCCTCCTCCTCCTCTTCCTCCTCCTCCTCCTCCTCCTCCTCCTCCTCCCTCCTCCTCCTCCTCCTCCTCCACCTCCTCCTCCTCCTCCTCCTCTCCCCCTTCATCCACCCCCCTATGCTGCTCGAGCGCCCCGCTGGGCGCGCCCCGCGCGCTGCGCGACGCGCCGGCACCGGGCCGGCCGCGGCCGCAGCGGGGCCATGCCGCCCGAGCGCGACGGGCACCCCGAGCCCGACGGGCCGCCCGGGCACCCCGAGCCTCACAACCGAGGCCGGAGAGCCGCCCGTCCCTGCGTTTCGTAATGGGGGGGTCATAAATGGCGGTGTGGCGAGGATGGCCCGAAAAGGTACCGAAACGGTACTTAAACGAGCCCCCTGAGGCTCCGGAGGGGCCCGAAAGGGGCACGAAAGGGGACCGTTGCTGACCCCCCCATTTATGACCCTCCCATCAAGCCACGCCCAAGCAGCCGCTGCCGTCGGGCGGCTCGTGAGAGTGACCCTTGGCTGGAGTGACCGTGACCTCTGGCCGAACTGACCTCTGTCGGGTATGGCCAGGGCCCCGGGTAAGGGGACCCGGTTAGTGGTAGGGCCCCGGAGCCTTCGGACTGGCCAGGATCACTAAACCAGGTTTGCCATAGCTGGTGTTTTTGTGTGGCCGCCCCGCGCACCGGAGGCCACTCTTGCCCAGGGTCTCTCTTGCGCGCGGCCGGCACGAAGCTTTTGGCGCGAGGCCCACCCTGGTCTCGCAGGGGGGCCGATGCTCCCTGTCGGTTCCTCCGCGGGTCTCCCCCCTGCGCTCGTTGTGGACTTGGGGCGCTGAGGAGGGGGGAGGAGGTGGGGGATCATGCTGATGATGATGACGATGATGATGAAGATGAAGATGAAGATGAAGATGATGATGATGATGATGATGATGATGATGAT